TGTTGGAATTGATATTGATTCTCTGAATACACTTGTTGAGTCTAACCCAAGGCAACACACTCGTGAAGTGGTCCTGAAATTTCATGTCTCTCATGAAACAATACATAAACATCTAAGGAATATGGGAAAACTCCATAAAGAATGTGTTTGGGTGCCTCACGAACTCTCCGATGATCATTGTTTCCAACATGTGAATGTTGCTTCATCTCTTCTGTCGCGTAATGTGTGTGAACCATTTTTGGACAGAATTGTCACCAGTGATGAAAAATGGATTGTCTATGAGAATATTAGATGGCAAAAACAATGACTCAGTCTTAGACTAAAACCACTTCTGACATCAAAACCTGGACTCCATCTGCAGAAAGTGATGCTTTGCATTTGGTGGGACATCAAAGGAATCCACAGTGAACTATCAATGCAGAGATCTATAGTCAGCAACTAGAATGTTTAAATCAAGCCCTTCACTTGTCAATCAGAAAGGTGTTCTTCTCCACAACAATGTAGGTCCAACATGTGGCACGTTTGATGCAACACAAGATTATGGAGTTAGGTTGAGAAGTTCTCCCCCACCCACCATATTCTCCAGATATGGCACCATCAGATTACCATCTTTTTCGTTTGCTGCAAAACGTTTGTTGTAAAACGTATGCAAATGTGGAAGGTGTTAAAGAGGACATCAACATGTTTTTTGCTTCAAAGCCAAGTGATTTTTTAATCAGGGCATTAACATGCTGATTGTAAGATGGAAAAGCATCATCTCTAAGAATGGAGACTATTTCATTTAATAAATGTTTTGTTTTGATATATAAGTTGCTCGGGTTTTTTCATCTAAAAAAAGTGACATTAATTTCTTGACGACCTACTAGTTCTCAGTTGTTGCATAGAAAAAATTTGAAATTCAAAGCTTGTTACAGTAATTGCAAGCCTGCCAGTTTAAGCAGAAATGTGTGCAAACAAAGCATTAAGTGAGATAAAAAATTTGTTCTGGAGCTTATGGTCATTTTCTTCATGTTAAAGTGAAATTCTTTTGTATTTATTTAACCATGCAATCTTTGAGGTGAAAACTGTATTTTTAGATTTCTTTGCTATTTCTGAGTTTGTAATTATTTTTTTAATTTGACAGAAACTTTTTGCAGCCCATGATCTTTTTATTCAAGGGTTACAACTAGCTGAAAAGAAGTTTTTCAAAGGTATGTTAAATTGATGATTTTCTTTCTGGATTTTATAAGTAATATAAAGATTCCTTCTAAGTTAAATTGTAAAGTATGTAAGTGCACATATAAACTGCTGCTTGTCCAGCAATTATTACACATTCTTTGGGGAAGAACTTGCAAACTTGAAAGCTATTTGTTTTTAAACTCTTATTTTCAGATTTGTATCTATATAACCACACATCAACCCACCAAATATAGTATTGTGGTAGAACAGACTGTATCAGAACTTTTTTATCATTGTTTGCCATTTTGTAGGTAGTGTTATCCCATTGAAAATCAACCTATTTGGGGAAGGGTAGATATCCTTTATAATTAATAGCATATAAAATTTAAGAATATGGATCAACATGGGGCACCAGAACCATTCAGAAAAAAGACCTGCAATAAGTTGTACCCCAGACATGGTAAACAAAATATGGCATAACAGGAGAGAAACTATAAACACAAAGATCAGTGACAAAGGTTGTCCTTAAGACCCAGGCAACAGTATGCAACATAATTATGAAGTAGCTGCATCTTAAAATGGTGAAAGGGTATGGGTTCTCCAAGATAAGGGTTCCAGTCATACCTTATACTTAATCATCACATACCTCAAGCAGCTGAAGAATGAAATGAGTATTTGTGCTATTCAACATGAAGGCATACTGGCCAGTTGCAAGATACACTGCTTATAGATTTCTGTGTGATAAGACTATTCCCATGGATTATGAGAAGTATATAGGAAGGAGGAGTATGCTTTAGACATGACAACTTATGTAATAAAAACTATGCTGCAGGAGTACTGTTAAGGTGTGCATTCATCAGATATAACATGAGTTGATGTGGTAACATGTTTTAATGATGTGGTGAGGCTTATATTGTTTTAACATAACATATTTAATCCTCTAATTGTCTTATGGTACACATACAGATGTGTAAGTAAAATATTTTATAGCTTGAGGCTTAAATTTGTTCCTAGTTACAAAGAATCTTGTAAAATAAGAAAGCAAATTCTGGAATGTCAGAAGCATAGAGGAATAGAATTTTGAGACTTCTATTTCTGTAAATGCTAAACATATATTTTTTTCTATTCTTTTTTATGAATGGTGCAGATGCTTTAGAGAAGCTACAGAAGTGTCACAAGATTCGAGAAAAACTGTTGTACAAACATCACAAGCAGCTGGCTGAAGTTAGAGATAAGATTGCTTGGTGCTACAGCTCACTTGGTAAAAGTTAAATATTTAATTTTTACACCATAATGCATATGAGATGATGTTAAAAAGACTATAAAAACCTGTTTATTATAAAATAATAATAACAATATTAAGAAATTTTAACCATTTTATACAATAAATGTAGTATTACCTAATTACCTTATCTTTACCAAGAACTAAAAATTTTGTTGTTTTGGAAAAAAAAAATCTTTTTGTGAGTAATTGACCAAATGACAGAAAATATGGTATAGAATTCAACAGCATAGTATCACTCAGTCAATGAAAGTGGTCTGATATACCCTATTTCTGTTTATATAGCATACATAGTCCATTCTAATCTAATCAAATTTATTATAATTTTTTCTTTCTAATTCTTTCTAAGTATGTTTCATGGTCTTCAAATATCCTTACATAAGTAAAACCAAAAATGTTTTTGATATACTGTTCAATTTTATACATCTTTTTGCTGTATTAGCTAGAGCTGTATTGAGGATATTTTGGTTCTAGAGCAGTGTTTCTCACTTAGTAACTGGAGGACCCCTTTTAATTTAAAATTGTTTGTGGATCGCCAAACCTATCAACGTTTTTTTTTTTGTTTTCTAAAAAAAGATTCAAATATTTTAATTTATATTTTTATCAAAAAATTGTTATTCCATAAATATTTTTTTTTAATATTTTTTATGAACTTTTGAACATGACTTGTTGACTTGCGAGAAATGCTGCTGTGGAGAATTTTTTCTTCTTGGTTGCTATTAACTTCTGTACTTGTTGATGCTCCTTTGAGGTAACTTGTTCATTGAACCTCATAGCTTGAAATGTTCATTTCCTGCTGTCAGTAAGAAGTCTATATTCTGTTGATTGTTTATATTTCAGGGGAGTTCTGGTTGGCTGTTGGTTTCCTAAGACCAACATTAGTCACTACCTCTGAACAGTTTGGTGCACACAGCATCGAGATAGCAAATGAACTACAGAAGTTTTCTGACCTCTTATTAAATGCAATTCCTCAGTTGCTTCAAGAAGGGCATAATTCAAAAGAAAGCTTTATTAGGTTAGTAATGTAAAAATAAATAAACATTTAATGTAAACACTAGCTGGTAAAGACTAAGAAAAGTCTGAAATTCATACAGGATATTATTATTATCTGTGATAATACCATCTGTTTATTTAGATCAAAACTTAAAATCCTGAAAGTGTTTACTGATCTTTAATTAAAAGATAAGTTTATCAGAATTGGTATAGTTTATTCCAAAATACCATTGATTCATAGGTGAATAAGTTAATATATTTGAAAATGGTTATATTAATGTTACTCTTTCTGTTAAAATAATTGAAAATGTATCACCACTGCCTTGGATTACATTCTAAAAATTGTATAATCTTGTTCTCTGAATACATTGGTTTGTAACTAGTTTCTTTTAGTAGTGAAATCATATTGTCATCAACCCCCAGTCTGTAAGTCAATGAGGCCAAATTTGGAGGATTGGGTGGGCTACATAGGGTGTCATGGTTTCCAGTATTCAAGTTAGAACCAAAACAAAATATCCTCCAATAAAGGGCTTTATATGTTAATGTCCAAAAACCACATTACTTGCAAAAAAACTCTCCTCTGAATAATGGTTGGCCATGAAGATGCAGTTTAGGTGTTGGTTGAACTGTGTTCTTCTTGCACAAAATAGTAAAGTATTTATGTTCAGGCAGATACTGCACTTAGCTACCTAGCAGCAAGTAGGTTTCATTGATCCTTGGTCATCTCTATTTACAGAACCAGGGCTCAAAATTAGTGGGAACCAGTAAAAAGTATCTGCAGAACTTATGACAAATCATGAATAGATCATCCCAAAATTACAAACATTCATCAGTCATGTACAATCTCCAAATGTTGTCACTCATGTATTCAATGTAAATGTTCTTTCATTAATAAGAATGCCATCATTTTGTCCAATACTGAGACTTTTTGTATCTGTGTCATGGTATTGATATACAAAAGTTCGTTTATAAAATTTGAAATACAGAGTGATTATTTGAATTTTTATAAAGATGACTACTGTTTTCAATCAGAATGCTACTTTTTTAACTTTTTATATATAATACCGAGCCTGTAAGGCTCACACATTTGAAACATGTACATAAAAGTTCTTTTTTATCAATACTTTCCAAAAACAGGCAAGTAAACATTGCAAACTTGTAAGTTGTTTACATAATCTATTTTACTGCATGTACATAGTCTGTAAGTATGTTAGTACAAACACTTTTGAATCCCGCTTTGCAGACTGCACTAGCCAAAAATAAAAAACAACAACAACAACATAATATTACTGTTTTACAAATTATGTCACAACTGGAAATCGCCGATTACCGATTCTGATTAAGTACAGTAAAGTTAAGGATGTTATTGTGTAGTATTATTGACAGTTTAACCTTAAAAATTATAACAACTACAGAGAATATAACTTGAAGCTTCATTAAATTTAAAATGGTTGAAATCATCAATAAATGAAAAAAAAATAATGATTTCTATTCCTTTTTTTTTTTATTTGAATGAATGTAAAATTTAAATGGGGACTGACCTTGTGGCTACTACATGATCGATACATAACATTATGTGACTATTATGAGAGACAAATTGTTGAGGTTCATTGCCCAAATTCATCATTCACTTCAGCCAAAAGTTTGAAATCTTTTGCTGTCACTTGACACATTTTTTAACTAAAAACTACTTTCTAAACCAAATGAAGTATTCCAACTAAAGGTCAAATAAAGTGACAGCATTTGGAAAATTGACAAAAGATTATTTTTTTAAAATGGCTTTAATAAAAAATTACCTAACTGTACCTTTATTACATATGTAATGATTGACTTTCCAACATTAAAAAAAGAAAAAGAAAGGACAACTTTATGACAGAGAAGACCCACATCATGCCAATTGAAAAGAGCATTAAAAAGTGACTATAAGTTTGAAATGGACAGCAACTGCCTGTTGTAGAAACCTAAAAATGTAGAGGACGACATTTCAAAAGTCTTTCGTGTTCAGGTCTGCCTAATACAACCTATCAAAGTATTAAAAAGCTTTGCTTGGGCATCAACTCATCAAATATGTCTCCTGACTCACTGACTGAGTGTTAAAGCGAAAATATTTTTTACAGAGTAACTTGTTGTTAAGGTTAAGAATTTTCTTGTATCCTATATTTTCCAGTTTATATGGTGCTGAATTAAAGTACGTAAGGTAGTTTGTTTCTTGTGACTTAGTTTATATACTTAATATTTTGCTTGAAGTTTCATTGGATTACTTGAAATTTGTACATCCCAGCTAACATTTTCACATTGTTGCAGCATCACACATTGGTTGCCACAGCTTTAAAGGTTTGTGAAATTACAATAATGTAAACTTGTGGAGACTCTGAAATGTTGTGGTCTTACATTGCATTTTTACATTACTACAACCACCATCCCACCAGTTTTACTAAACCCAATCTTTAAAGGTTATATGATGAAATATGGATTCATCTCCTTTCTCTCACATATATTTATTAGACAGGTATTCTCCGACAAGTAAAGAAAGAATAGTATTTACAGAATGTCAATATAAGATTTCTCTGTAATCATTGTTCATGAAAATAGTAATCTATGTGCAAGGTACGGAGATATGTTGAAAGTCAGTAACTCTAGTGTTTAAATTTATAACGAAGCTTTCCCTTAAACTTTTCCACTACTTAATTTTGCAGAAATCGACTTCAAGCTTGCAAACATTAGTAAGTGGCGTCAAAACATTAAGAGGATGAATACGTAGAAAAAGAAAGAGTGACAGATGATGACTAGGGAGACGTATACACCGAAAGGAGGATATATATTCCTCCTGGTTTTTTGGGAGCATGTTTTATGCCAACCTGATCCACTACAGTGCTTTCATTTTATTTTGGGTGGGAGTATAAAAGCAGACTTCTGCAACAAACACGAAATAAAGAAAGCCCAAGAATGGTTAATTAGAAAACAACTTCCATGTCATTCTCTTAAGAATTTGATATTACAAAAAAATCTCAACTCATTTTGGTGTTTTGAAGTTAATATTAACTTTAGAATCTATTTCTCATGCATTTGACCTCTCCTTTTAAGTCGTGTGTCTCAACATGTGTCTGTTGTGAGGGCTACCATGTTAAAACCATAATTAACACATCATACATTAAAAAATGTAGAAGATAGACTTTGAAGATATCCATATCATATAGCTTATATCATGAATTCCAAAAAAATTTAAAAATCTTAAAATATTTTATTGTAGGCCTTTGCTCATAGATTTATTGTGCAGAGTTTTACAATTTTACATTGAAAACTGTAATAAAAAATAGACCTTGAAGGACTGTCGGTGGACACTGGACAGACCAGTGCCACACTATCTCCATTTAAAAATTATAATTGTCTTCGACTACAGCAGAGTTAAAATTCACACAATACAAATTCATCTGCTTCTCCCCTTTTTAACCCTCCTTCATATCAAATTACTGACTGTCTATTGTGAGCATTAATTATATATTTTTAGTTTTGATGGCTAGATGACAGCACTGTATGGTAATCAGATTAAGTTTTTACCCTACAGACACATTCAACCATAAAATACTCCATACTAAACAGCTACAAAAAGCTAATTATTTCAAATACTAATGACCATGGCAGTAATTTTGGTGCCAATTGGTCAGCATGTTGCTACTGTTCAACACTATGTTTCAACAAGACATGTTTTTTAAGGCTTCTATTGTAATAAATCAAGTGTTCACATGAGGAAAAAGTAAAGAAAATAATAAGCCATGAACATTTGCGCAGCACATTGCTGAGAAGTGGAAACCATTGAACTTTCAATTTTCATGTTACACATGATAGAGCAAATTGACCTTTATGCTATTTGATTCAAGTTTGAAAAATATGAAGATCACCCTAATCATATGATTTAATGGTAATTATATATTTTAGTATTTTACAGTGGGTAGATATTTGTTATAAGATTTTATTTATTTTTTACAAAAACAAAAGCTGTCAATTTCCACACCTATAACGTCTACAATTACAGATTAGTTACATACTTTTTATTTTTGAAATAATTGAAATAACAAGTAATTACACAGTAGAAATGTTAACATGTTATTTAGGCAGAAACTTGTGTTTCAGTAAAAGTTATGCATGCAACATTGTGAACATTTTTTGCTACCTTGCAAGTTTTTAAAACAATAAATCACCATATACGTAAGATAATGTTGTTTAAAACATGTAAACTGCTATAGTTTCTTAGTAAATTGTGTGTTTTTTTAAATTTCATATATTCACCACTAATGTCCAGCAGTGCTACAACACTGTCACAAAATACTATGTTACTTTGTGGGTATTACCAATGCATAACTATTCAGCAACATTGAAGAAATATCACATATTAGCTGTGGTGTATTTAAAAATGGCAATTAATATATTTATGTATTAGAAATCGGCTACATAAGTGTGGTTATGTTTTATCAGAATGCTTGATATGTTTTCTGTAGGAATGTCTTTCGGGAGTCCCATGAAGTTATTTCAAGAGCTGTGGAAATCTTTTCCATTCACTATGGCTCCCATCATGTTGCTGTGAAAGAATTAAAAGAGAAAGAGAAACAACTGGAAGGACTTTCCTGACTTGAATGGAGTTAATGACAGTTTAACATGTCAGTGTGTAAGATATACGATTTTGTTGTATTAAGTTGGTCTTTATTTAGTTAATAGCCCAGGAATTTTAGGATCCAGCTTAAAAAACAATATTGTAAAGCTGAAAATCTCACTGTTGCTAGAGTTTTTCTCACTCATCTTGGATTTTTGCTCTACCTGCTATAACTTGTGACAGATAATAATTTTTGCATAATTACTTAATTTTTATGCAAATAATTCTGAAATTCCATATTTCATGCTATTTTTATATCAAGCTTTTCTTTTTGCATTTCATAGCATTTTAGCAGCAATGGATGTGAAAATGTTCCAAATAAAAGTTTTAAGTCATTATTTGAGCTATCAATCTGATATAGAACTTATGAATCCTTCCCAAATAGTGGGGAAATCATGGGTCAGCATCACAGGAATATGCACTTCAGAACCCTTTACAAACATGAACAGACATAAATATTCATTCGGATATACTTTTTTTTAAATTAACTTTCTTGATACAGACTCAGTCATTTAGAATGTCCTTGTAACTGCCAGGTATAGACCTTAATGCTTGACACAATTTGGAGCTTCTCAGGGGGGCTTCATCCATTCAAACAATACTTGCATCAGTAAGTGATTTCAAACCATGTCTAACTTCAACAGCATCTTTGCTTTTCAGAGGGGGGAGCCCAAGAAAGGAAGGAAAGATAGAAAGAGGGAGAGGAACACACATACTTTGATAGACTTGATATAAAAACAATTGTGCTCCTCATCTTGTCCAACAATAATTTAAGGAAATATTCTATTATGCATCACAGGGCCCAAAGAACTGATCTACTCTAAATTTTTACAATGCAATATTTTATAGCATATTGAAATGTAGGCTGTAAAACAAGTTGACTTTGATATCATTGACCATTTTGCTGCAAAGAAAGCTCAAAAAGGTTATATGTGAATTTACCGTTAAATCATTCTTTTTCTTGCATCATTTGATGTTTTTGAATAAAGTTGCTAGTCACAACCTGTTTTCCATTTTCATTGCTTACACAAAAAAGTCCAAAGAGTTAAAAGGATAAGGATGATATACTGGTGAAGGGGATTGAAGATGAGGTTAGTGATGGTGGTGGTGATAGGGGTGAAGATGGGGTGGGAAAGGGGAAGAGGTAAAACTGTAGGATTACATTTGGAAAAGTACGCTTTAAAAGGGAAAATGATTGCATCAAAACTTTGGCCATCAGATGGCATGTACAGGGAGGATGATACCAGGGCCTGGAATTTCTTTGATGGGCTCTGCACAAAAGATAATTAAATATCACATCCATTTCTGAAAAGAGAGAAAACATTTTTTACAATACAGCTCTCTCAATATCTAAATTTAATGAATGCATAATGAAGAAGTAAACAACCAGTAAAGTGTCTGTTGTATCATCTGCAAGCGTTACCAGAACAAAAAGTAAAGACGTTAGCAATGTTTGCTACTCAGTACTTTGTATCTTACATTTAACTGTCATAAAGTAACACCAGTGGGATGTATTATTATGGTAAGCTGAGCCATGAGATTGCATTAATCCAAAATGGTTGCATTCAGGGTGCTCACTAGTGCAGAATTCCAAAGTTATATTTCAGATCACTAGCTCAGATAATGGTCTAAAATTTTTATATGGAACATTTTCCAATTTGATGCCTCTTAAAATGCTAGAAATTTCAAACAACAGGAAATGTAGTTACAAAAAATACAATACACTCTCTCTGTATGAAATTATTCAGTCATTGTCTAAAAAATTGTAATTTTTCAATGACAAACTTTATAAGGAACATTTCTGTGAAAACCATGCATTTGTACAAGCATTGGGTCACAAGTTCAATCAGGTAGAGCAAAAATTCAAAATGTCATTTTTTCTAAGTAAATGAAGTGAAGTGGAAATAGGATTTTTTACTTTTGATATATTATTCAGCAAGAAAAACTACAATTATTAAAATTTTCAGCTTTACATGACTTTTTACCCTGCATTAGTCGTTTGTAAAAAATTTCCATTGTCACTTATCCAGGGTCCAAGTGGATCTAATCATAAAAAAAACTGTTATTTTGGAAACAAAAAACACTAACACTCAACGTTTTTTCCTTTGTTAATAAATAATTGAACACTGAATATTCCAACTTGTTTCTTTTTTACCACCTAAACTAAGTGTAATAATTTAACACAAACTAGCCGAATATTGAAGCTACTGAGAGCAACAAACATGTACATCCTTCCATCTGTCGGTGTCAATATTTACAAAATATTTGGAGTTTGTGAAGACCTGGAACACTAATGCAAGGTTACATTAGGTCAAATGTCTGTTTAAAATTCCTGGTCTATTAGAGCCAGACTTTGTCACAAGCAAGAGACATAGAAAAATACTGTAAATCCTTGAAATGCCCTTGATGTACACTTCAAATTGACTTATCTAATATATAAATGTGAAAAGTCCAAGGTAGCACATATTGTTTATTTAATCCATTTAACCCTTCATAATACATTTCTGAGCAAACTTTATATTGCGTTATTCTTCCTAATTTCACGTGCAATTCTGAACTTGCCTGATTTAGTGCTTGTAAGACTGAAAGTAAATTTTTCTTAACACTCTGACACATTCCTAAAGCACATGCTTACTTTTCCAAATTTGTATTGTACAATCTCTTGCATAGTATTTTATAAAATCTATTGGATTAAATATATTAAATAAAGGGCTGCGTGGACTTTATTTTATTTAAAAGAAATAAATAGGAGATGGAATACAATCTACATACAGATGTTAATAATGGAGAACTTAATTACTAAATGTTTTCCTGGCCACATTACCAGCTGAAACGTTGGTATATTTTTATTGAATGTTGATTCTACTGGTTCTGTATTTAGGAATCTACACGATCATATTTTTAAATTTAAGTTTTATCTTCTTTCAGTCTCTGCATCCAAAATAACTGATTGTGATTTATTAACCTTGTGGGATTTTGAAGTTTGTGTTCTTTATGTGTGTAAATGTGCAAAATTTGTTTTACAAGTTTAATTAGATTTACCACGCTTTGCTTAAATGTTGCAATGAATAATTGTAACGATAGCTTATATGAAGATTAATAAAACAGAGTTTCGAATATGATAAATTAATATAATTAAATTAGAAATATAACTAGAAATTATTATTAGCAGTCATAGTCATTTTGGATTTTTATTTACATATAGTTTTTGTTTAACCTTCTTACTAAGATAGAACAAATCATGTTTTGTTTTACAAAATAAAGTTTAAAAGGATTTACTATACATAATGTATAGAATTGGTTAATAAAAAAGAACTTGAAACATTCCATTAACTTCAAAATATCTACATTTTATGGTACTGCAGCCTTAACAGTGATGTTTGTGGATCTCTCCAAGTTTGTGTGATACAGTTTTCATTCATTTTGGATATATAAGTGTAGAATCTTCTATTGCTATATTTGGTTAGAAAGGATAATACATTTGTACAAATTGTACTTAAGAGTATGGTTAGATGAGACTTTGTGGTGTTATATTTGTATTGTATGTATGTATGCTGAACATAAAAAAATAAATTGATGACAAAGTTTTTAACACCCAGTTTAAAGGCTATATTTCTGAACAAGTTTTACATTATTCAGTTCAGAAAAGTAGTCCTTTGTGAATATGGTAGTTTCTACAGACCTTAAACTTGGCTGGTCTTATTACCAAATTAATATTTGTAGATACAGAACATACAATTTTGAGGAGTATTTGTATAAACCTGAAGCTTGGCTTGTCTCATGACCAAATTAATGTTTGTAGATAATAAATATATGGTTTTTGTGCAGCATTTCTATAAGCTTCACATGTACCTTGGCTGAAGGCTAATTCATATATATGTTTGATACTATGGGAATGTAAGTGTATAGTTCAATAAAGGGTTTTTTACAGTTAGATATATTAGAAAAATAATTTTAGATTGCACACATTATGTGAACTGTTATTGATTTGTACTGGTGGTTTTATGATTGAATATTTTAAATCACCTACTAGTCTTTCACTGAATGAATTAGCGATCCAATTAATTAATCAGAAAAGTAAATTTGTCAAGTGTGTGTTTTAAGGAACACTAACCCTTTCTGTATTCAACTAATTTATCAGTCATTGGTTCTAACTAAATTGTAAATTTTTTTATTTTGTTGGTAAAAATTCAGTTCATTTGAAAGTTACAAAGTTTTAGTCTACATTCATATTTTGACCTTGTAATCACAATGATTGATACACTTTTTTTTTTATTGATAACAATATATAGCAGCCAATTTTTAAACCGTATATAGATCTAACATGTCCAAGGAAGGACATCCAAGAACATTGTGTTCAAATTTTGTTTGTGTGACAGTGTGATGAATTAAAGTTTGAAGATTTTCCTTAATAAACTTGTACTTCAACATATTCTAAGTCTCTAAACGTTTTATGTAGGTAGACAGAAAAACAAAACTAAATCACTTGAAAATAAAGTTTTAGTCACATCTAAGTGTCCATCAAAACACATTAAATAGTAATATTTTTTAAGTCTTAGTGTTAGATCATATCATTTTCAGTGGTACAAATAAATTTTCTGTTTATTTATTTGTAGAAATTCACCCTAAATAAATGTAAACCATTGTCTTCTCAGTCATGTAACAAAATTACATTATTCAACAAGGTACAAAGCACTTGTATCCCTCAGTCTTCAGATTTATAATACTCAAATCAGGGGTTTGATTCCCCTTCTTGGACACAGGAGATAGCCCATTGTGGCTTTGCTATACAAAAACACACACCACACATAAAGTGTATAAAACATGATAATTCATACTATTTATCAATGTATAAAAATAATATGATGAATGTAAATGTGTTTAATATGGTTACTTTATGGTAGTAATAACCAGGAATTTAAGCTTTTAATTTTGATTATAGGTGAATGTGATTCAGTTTCTTTCACACGTGGAAACATAAAGTGCTGCTCAGAATTTTGAGGAAACAGACACAGTACATAAATGTGGACAGATGAACAATTTAATGCTTGATTTTAACCAACAGTTTTTAGTTATGTTGCTTTCCCCTAATATATGTTTTGCAGAGAAAATGTATTAACACCTTAACATTTATAGAACTGCAGAGAAAACATATTTAACGAAGTCATTTCTGTAGATTTGTTTACATTAGGGTTTATAACTACATATAAATTAAAACAGTTTTGAAACTTCACCAGGTTGTGATGTTTGTCAGTGCTCTGTCTGACAAACATGCATCTTGACAATAATAGTCTTGCAGTGAAATTTGGATTGCAAACGCACCACTCCTCCCTGTTTGCTTTTCATAATTCATCATGTGTATTGTTATAGCATCTCTAGGCATGTACATGGCTTCTTAACTTTTTTTTAGTTTTACATTGATAGTATTTTATCTAGAAACTCCATGTATTACAGATGTACTTATCTAGGCTTAGTTACTGTTTGAGTTTGAGTGTTTTTTTTTTAGTGACTCCATGTACTAGAAGTACCATTCTTTAGGCTTCCTTACTGTTTTAGTTTGGTATCAATAGTGTATTTTTCCAGAAAATCCAAGTACAGATTCCCTTTTTTAGGCTTCCTTACTATTTTGATAGTGTTGTAACACTGTTCTTTTGTAATGAATTGTTTTATATTATCTGCTGAAAATAATGTCCAGTCCAGTAACAAGTTTGGATACTTGTACACTGCCTTAAATAGTTGTAGGCTTATGTTGTAAACCTCTCTAACAATACTAGGACTAACAAAAATTAACTTACTTGTACATTGTAACTCAATAGCAAAACAACTAATGCAGATTCAAATAAAATACACTGACTCACTTTTATAGTTACAATGACCTTTGGTTTCTGAATTCTGTAGACCACATCAATGATTTCTTCAAGTATGATATATAGCCCTTCTAAACATCTTTGGAGTTTGGCCTCTTTTTGTGACAAGAACTGCTTAGCCATGCTATGCATGTCACCTCAATGAAAAAAACCCATAGGTTTGTGGGCGATTTTCCTTAAATATAAACTTTTCTTATTTCTGATAAAGGGAGTATTTCCAGCTGTTAATTCCTTACAACATCAGCTGTGATTACCATATTTTCCACAGAACAGTTCTTTGTTTGTAGTATTCTTATTTCATACTGGTTTTAGTTTACATATCCTTGCAATATATCTTTTCAATTAACACTTGAAACACGTACTTTTTATGGTCTGTTGCCTCCATTCTGTGTATTAATTCCATCATATTTAGACTATCTCTTGAGGGAGGTGATGTTTCAATACTGTAGGATTTGATATTTGTGTAACTTCTAGATGGCCTTTAGTAGCTTATCTGTAACCTTAATGGATTCTAGGTTCATTGTCAGCGAAAGAACGTCCTTTAAGGATATACCCTACTTTGCTTCAGGCTAATTCCCATATCCTCATCTGTTATGGCATTTATAAACTGGTCACATTCCAATGAATCCAACATTTCACGAAGAGTATCCATTAAAATAATCAGGCAAGCCTTTTTCTAATCTTCCACAAGTTTAGCTAAGATCTCATCTTTCCTTTGTACGTTGTTCTGGATATTTCTTTCTGGTGTGACATTTCAGGCCTATTGGATGAGGCATCCTCCAATGCTTAATAGATATTACCGGTATTAGCTGGAAGGTTACTTAATGTTGTCAAAGCTGGTCTTTTTTGATGGGCAAGGTGGATGACTTACTGCTCACTGTTCAACCCATTCACTCTAAATGATTTCAAACTGTGCACGGTATGACTCCCATAGTACCTTCTCATCATAGTCCATTGGTTTCTCTATTGACCAGTGTTGAACTGACCAGCTAAAATTTGACACTGATTTGATAATTTCATGGTTAAAGTAGTCCAGGAAGGTCTTTCAATAACAGATGGCGCAGAAGTAGTAATAATAGGTGTAAACCATATAATTTATATCCAATATTTGATTTTTCCACACACTATCTGAGGATTTGGGTCACTTTCTGCCAGTGCCTAGCGATGCCACTGCCTAAAATTCCTAAACAGTTTATATTTACTATATCCACTTTATTCGTAAGAATTTACCTGCAGAGACGTAAAACCTTAAACTGACTATGAGCGCTGGAGCAATAGACCTAAAATGGGATAAGACATCACATTTGACTACAGATGTTTTCCGCTTACTTATTCTAGAACAGATAACTAACTATAAGCATATAAAAATAGTATTTTAAATCCCCCTGTTATATGTCGTATGTAATACATTAACCACTAGCTTGATATTATTATAAGGATGACTTCTCACAAATGTTACTTTTCGCATTTGCAGTTTGAAATCGGTAAGGGACTAACTAAGAAAAATGGAAGAACTGTAAAAAAGATACTGTTACGTATCTGCTTGTTTGATAATTTCCCGTAAAAATTATTTCCGAGGAACTTCAGCGGTACAAGTTCTTTCTTAATTAAAACTAGCTTATTCTTTCTCGTTACAAATTTTGTAATACACTTAATTTCCACAGTCACTTTAAATTTAACTACTTTTATAAACACACGCTATAATTCACAGCGATTCACACACTTTACGTACGGTGCCTACTGCTCACTTGACTCTGTTATCTGTCTCCGGCTTATATAGTAAAAAAGAGGGCGTCTAGCAAACGCTGGGACGTTCGTGAGGTTGCCCGCTAAGTCACGATCCTTCTAGAAACTCCAGCGCGCATGGTCCCAGATCCGCGTGACTTCCGCTGTCGTAACAATATGTTAAACATAAAAGCAAGACATTAATTATTTTACAGTACATTACATGCAAATGATTAACAACCAAGAAAGAAAAAAACAATTCAAGTTAAATTAGACGAAATGGTAAGCAGTTTTGGCGACAGTTGTGGGGATATCTTACTCCATCAGTTTCTATCACACATAGGGGAAGAATCAGTAAATTTAAAGTAAAAAAAAGGACTACTGTTATTCACTTCCAGTGTCTAGCAGTGAACGTTAGTACCAAATATATCTACAGATATTACAGTACAGACGGAGTAACACTACAAAACTTCCCATTGTAGTTTACTGTGAAAAATAACAACAAACGATCAACGTTGTATAATACACAATTAAAACCAATGAACGGTTGTAAAAACCACTACATATTTCCACGTCGTTCACGTCATCCTCAGGAGTGTGAAAAAAAAATACTTGTGTAAAGTCAGTTTAAATTTTGAAACCATGTGTTACTAAGACTTACAGAAAAGAAAAAAAAATATCAGTAAAACTATTTCCTGAAGAGTGACCTTCAAAGTCATGAAACCCATAGAATAAATTAATAAAAGAAAGAAAAGAAGTCTGATATTTCAATGTTGTTTTATATAGATTTAAAAAAGTAAATACTGACCTTAGTCACCTTGTTAGATATACACGACTGTTTCTTTTAAATTTAATACAAGAGTTATGCTTTAGATAGTTATAAGGCACCAGTGTAAAATTTAATGTTTTTAGAAGCGAAACTTTATCGCAGGTTTACTTATGTAACTGTTTACGAATTAGTTGTTGTGAATTGATATCGTATTACTCAAACCTTCTGAATTTTTCTCGTTGCTTTAAGTGAGTATTGTTACATCATAATGTGTCTTAGTTTTTAGAAAGTTCTAGGCATCAGTGGGGAAATATATATATATATTCAAATTCGATGACGAGGAACCCACTTTGAGATGATGACAAAACCTTGTCGAAACGTTGTACATTTGCTGTCATGTTAAACTTATATTAAAGTTTTTCTTCATTACCCATTTAAGCCGTCTCCAGCCATTATATATATATATATTGTTACGACATTGAGGACACGTGACTAGTATCACGCCACGTCATTCTCGAACTTTCACGTCTTTTCCTTAAATCTCGTGATCTTTCTAGATATTGTTTGTTTGTTTTTGTATTTCGCGCAAAGCTACACGAGGGCTATTTGCGCTAGCCATCCCTAATTTAGCAGTGTAAGACTAGAGGGGAGGCAGCTAGTCATCACCACCCACCGCCAACTCTTGGGCTACTCTTTTACCAACGAATAGTGGGATTGACCGTTACATTATAACGCCCCCATGGCTGAAAGGGCGAGCATGTTTGGTGTGACGGGAATTCGAACCCGCGACCCTCAGATTGCGAGTCGAGCGCCTTATCCACCTGGCCATACCGGGCCCGTTTTCTAGATATAGTGTAGTCTTGTATATATATAAGACCGGCCACGAAGCGACGGGGAGGTAATGAGTAATTGAATGTATGTGGATAGAATATTGTTGGCCACGTGAGACGTGAGTTAAAGCGTTGTTATAGAGCGACTGT